GTTGCCAAAAAAGCCAACACACTTCTAGGCTGAATAAACAGAGGGATAGAATCAAGATCACATGAAGTGTTAATACCACTTTGGTAAGCCCACAAGGGGAATACTGCATTCAGTTTTGGTCGCCATGATGTAGAAAAGATGTGGAGACTCTAGAAAGAGTGCAGAGAAGAGCAACAAAGATGATTAGGGAATTGGAGGCTAAAACATATGATGAACAGTTGCAGGAACCAGGTATGTATAGTCTAATGAAGAGAAAGACTAGGGGTGACATGATAGCAGTGTTCCAATATTTGAGGGGCTGTCACAGAGAGGAGGGGGGATCAACTATTCTACAAAGCACCTGGAGGCAAGATAAGAAGCAATGGATGGAAGCTTATCAAATAGAGATCTAACCTAGAACTAAGGATAAATTTCCTGACATTGAGAACAGTTACTCAGTGGAACAGCTTGCACCCAGAAGTTGTGGGTATTCCATCACTAGAGGTTTTTAAGAACAGCCATTTGTCTGAAATGGTATTGGGCAGTGTAATGGCTAACCTTTTTGTCATCATGTGCTGAAAGCATTCATGCGCATGACAGCGCATGCGCATGCACCCACACTCATAATGCAATGCACATGTGGTGGTAGGGAGGCGTGTATGCATGCAGGATGGAGCTGAGCTGGGGCAATGGCTCTCGTGCCTGCAGAGAAGGCTCTGTGTGCTACCTGTGCCATAGATCCACCATCACAGGTATAGGGTCTCCTGCTTGAGAAGGGGGTTGGTCTAGAAGGCCTCCAAGGTCCCTTGCAATTCTGTTATTGTGTCATTTATGATTTTGATAATTAGACAAGATAGACTACAGAAAGAAGAGAGATATGTTGTAGCTTTAGAGAAAGAGGTAAATTTATAATTATACTTGTAGCTGCTATAAAATTGGAAGTCATTTCGTTGTATCTTTTTTCTTTCTTTTTTCTTTTTATTTACTTTTTCCCTTGCACTTATCTTCTTTTTAAAAACTTTAAAAACTTTTAAAAAGAAGCTAAACTTTAAAACATGGTCTGTTTTGCTAGATACCAGATAAATAAATTTCCCAGTAGCACGCAGAGTTTTCTTTCTGGTATATTTCACAATATGCCCTCATTGGCAGCAGATCGCTCACCTGCAGTGCACTATGATGGGTCCAGCTCCTGGGGCACTTTCCTGCATCCGATTGAGTTCATCAAGGAAATTAAGAACCCCTCCAGGCTCACTGGGCACTCCGTGGTCTGGCCAGCTCAAGTATTGGTAATGCCAGATGTCTCTCACGGCCTCACCCTAATATGTGAATACAAAACACATTCTCATGTCTGCTGTTTTTTCTTCTATTCTGGGCTGTTCCTGTTTGCAGTAACTAAAAAACACACCCACCAAGCTCCCGATAGTGACAGTAGAAGATGACTTTTCTTTTTCTGCCAGTCAGTCAGCCAGAAACTTCAGGACAACAAAGAAGGCTTCCTCTGCTCAAGTCCCATTCAGGAACAGATGTTCCAGACCTTGGTACATTTGGCCTCCATGCATTGGGCTTCATAATGGCTTATTCATTGCCATTAACTATGGGTTCATCTAATACTGTATCTCAGAGGTTGCACCAGGTTCTGTGTTAAAGCTTTGGGCCAAAGAAAGTGCCAAAGAGCAAATAAATTAAAAAGCGTATCTTGAGATCAACTTTCCCCTAAAATCTGGCAGAATATTCCTGCAAAAGGGCAGCACTTGCAATCTTGATGAAGTTGTTTTAAAGTGTTCTGAATGAAGAAAGTTCAGGAATAGGAATAAATGTTTCTTCCCCTTCTCTTAAACATCCAGCTGGGATTTGTAACACTGAAAAATGGATCCTGCATTAAGCTGGAGGTGGAACCAAGGGAAAAAAGTAATATCCCCCCCCCCCCCCTGCTACCTTGTATTGTTCACTTGCTTGCACAGAGCAATTTTGCTTCATTTTTTTCCTGACTTTTAAAATGATAGTTTTCTATTTTCCTGAAATGATATTCCTTATTTTCAAGGAAAATATTTAAACAGTTTTAAAAACAGTTACAGGACTTTCATCACAAATATCACGCAGCTCATTAAGTGTGAAATGTTGGGTTTTTGATGCTCCCTGAAACTATTGTTTTATTGGAGACATTTCATTACCAGGGTAGGTAATATCATCCATGGGGTAGGGAGAATGGAGTTTGCTGGTTCTGTATATACAGCAGGTTTCCTTCTTAATGGCTCCTTCATTAGAGTATTGTTTCTGATGGTTTCCTGCTTCTCTGGGTGTTGGCTGCTGGAGGGGATGTGTTCTAGAGGACTGAACTGCCATCCATCTACTATATTGTCTCTCCCAGTTTGTGAGGTGATAAATGCAAAACTCCACTTCTTTGCATTGCCTGTTTCTCTTCCCTCTCCTCTTTAATGTAATTCTCCAATGAGGAAAAGCAGGACCCTTGGCTCACGTGCTGCTGTTTGGAGTTCTACCCTCATTGTCCAACTGGACTAAAAGGAATGTTGCCTCCCATCAGAGCAGAGGGGTCCTTTTTTCCTTTTCTGGTGGTGTTCTTTTTTTATTGAAAAGTTACTAAGGTTGGGAGAGAGATGAGACACGAGTGTATTATTTCTACACCCCACTAGTGACTGCATTACTTTCACATCCATCTTTCAGCATATGATATGGCAGTGGATGCCATCTTACACTGTAGACAAACTAATTCTGTCACTGGGGTTTGAGGAGAAAAAGGTGGCTTCCCAGGAGATGCTGCTTTTGCCCAAAATGAAGCCTTTTCAGCCCCCTGTTGATATAGCTAAGAGTTCTTCCAGATGACCTATTAGGGAGATGAGTATGGCTTCCTGTGCTATGTCTCTGGTCTTCTGAGCTGCTGTCTACATTAGGATCCACCATAACCCAAACCCTAGCAAACATTTGTCAGTATATTCGGTCCTTGCAAACAGGTGGGGGAGGAAAGGAAACAACAAACCTCTAGGAATGATGCCAAACATCATTGAGAATGAAGGTTTTCAATCAATGGCTGGAATGAGATCAAGTGGTGTCCATTCAGCCAAGATCTTTTGTGTGAAGTCATCATCAAAAGGATTCCTATTCAGACTAGCTCAAAGGATGGACAGACAAAACTTGGGGGGGGGGGGAGTATTATACCTCTGTCTCCTTTTCATTTGTTAGTTCCCACCAAAGTTTGGAGTCAAAAGTTATATGCATGAGGGAAATATTCTAAGGTTTCAGGTACTCACATTATTGATTGGTGAAAGCCGAAGTTGTCGGAGTTTATAGTCTATTGCCTCACGATCTCCAATATTTTCCACAATATATGGCCCGTACTCTTTGCTGCTTCCTACTTCTGGCCAGTAGGGAACACATTTATTCTATTAGGAAACCAGAAAAAGATAAGGAAGAGGGACTGAAAGAGCACCATTTGAACTTTATTTAAATTTAGAGCTTCGTTAAGAACAGTTAAACAAGTTTACAGGTTTCTCCTTAAGTGCAGCTTTGAAACTGTTTTTAGGATAGCCAAAATGATTTTAGTGGAAGTCCAATTCAATGTTAAGTAAAAAATTATGATGAAGCATATTTCTGTCCTGTTTCTGTCTTGTTTCTCTCATTGGTACAGATTGTTAATGTTGAGCTCATATTTTGGAGATTAGTAACCTTATCTATCTATCTATCTATCTATCTATCTATCTATCTATCATCTATCTATCTATCTATCTATCTATCTATCTATATCCATCCATCTTTCTATTTATCTATCGTCTATCTATCATCTATCTATCATCTGTTTGTCTGTCTGTCTACTTACCCGTCCTTTCTCCACCTCCCGAGTGGTCATCACAATAATGCGTGAATTTTCTTGCCATACCATCTGCCAGAAATCATTAATGGTGGCCTCCAGGCAACCTTGGCTGGCAATATAGGTTTTACTGTATTCCTCCGGACCGAACAGCTCATTCTGTCAAGAAATAAAGAGATGAGATTAAAAAAAACTCAAAAAATAAATTCCCATCCCTTCTTTTCTCCAGATGTTACAGGGTAAACTAATCCTCACCTTGATGTAGTTGGCATTGATATAATCCGACCCAGGAATATTCACATCTCTGTCTTGAAGAATAACTCTGGAGTGGTCAACTGGAAGATCAGACAAGCAACATGTCACTGAAGAATCACACCATTTGTGAAAGGGACTTTAGTAAATTTTCTACATATAAATGGCAGGGGACAGCTTTTATTTCCTATGACTCATCTGAAGCAGCAGAAAACATAGCGCTGAAATTCTTATTTCCAAAATAGCACTGGAAATACTCTGACCTCGATAACACTACTTAGTTGAAATGCAAGGCTTTGTTTTTCAGTTCCTCTAATTCTTTATTTTCAAGGAGATTCTAACATCCTGCAGAAAAGACCAGAGGTAATGTGCCTTTCCTTCTCCATCCAGGAAAGGAGGGAGAATTTGGTGGGGGGAGCCCTTAGCAGGCCCATTTCCAGCCTCTGGAGGGCCTCTGGAGCCCAGGGAAGGCAGTTTTCACCCACCCAGAGGCTGAAGGAAAGCCTCCGGAGCCTGGGGAAGGTGACCCCCCCCCCCACTGTGGTGCAGGAAGCCAATTAGGCCATCCCCACTCCCACCCAGCAACCAGGCAGATAAAATTTTTGAAGCCCACCCCTGGAAATAGATTACTCACCAACCCCATGGAAGAAACCCAAAGAGTTTGAATTGTGTTATTGCTCCTCCCTCTCTAGTTTTAGTCACATTCCATTACTTTCCCACATTTATCTTGTTTGTTTTTGATTTTAATATGTAGTCTTGTTTTAATCATTTAAAGGTATTTGCCAGTTTTATATTATTCTATTCTGATATGGACCATTTTTTCATTCTCGTCAAATTTTATAAAAATAAAGAAATAATTTTGCTAGCTGCTAAAACTAAAAAGGTTTTCCTTTAAACGTTTGGGCATTCAAGCTGGAAGAAAATTAACTTGACTATCCATCAGGAGAAAAGTTAGTCCATAAGGCAATATATCTATGAAAGGTTGTGCAACATGCAATAAAGTGCTAACCAGACTTTTGCTTCCATGCTAACTGTAATTTTTATGGAGTTGTTTGTTTTGAAAAACTTGTAATATTTCAACTGTAGAAGGAGGCGTATTTACATCTTAGTTATTTCATTGTATTACATGCATAAGCTAAGCAAGGTTGAACACCAAACTCACAGGGCAAGATATTCTTATAACGGTTCTTGCTCTTATTTTCTGGTCTTTGACCCTCGTGTCGATCATACAAGTTCTTTGTTTCTTGTTTCTGCAGGCTCTGAAAGAAGAAATAAAGATATATTTTAGTAATGCAGATGTAGCTGATAGCTGAAGAAAAGAGGCACATCCATATTTTAAAAAGAGATGGGAGAAAATAAATCTTAAAATATTTAAATTGTTCAATTAATGGATGCATTTCACAATTACTATATGACTATTGATTATGTCCCTGTTGGCCAAGGCCACTTCACATCAGGAAAGTCTGGGGAGTAATGCTTTCTATGATAAGGAAATGAATTTCTGCTTGAGACATCTTTGGTCTAAGTCCTAATTTCTTCTACAACTGTATGGTGGGTAAGGAAATTCTGGCTTTCAGATGTTGCTGAATTACAGCTCCCAAATAGCCATCGTCAGTGGAGCTTCTAGAGGTTCCAGAAATAATGTATGAATCTTTGGATTGCAGCATTGACTCCTGAGGCTAAAACACGAGGAATTGTTCACTGCAGACAAACTCTACTCACGTCAAATTCCTCCCAGAAACCACCTTTGTTTGCCTCTTCTGCTTGACTCCTCCTTTTGAGCATTTCCACTCTGTTTTCAATGTCAGCTGCATTCACTCGAGTGGCATTGAAAGGCTTGGAGAGGGAATGGGGGGATGAAATGAAAAAAGAGAAGGAAAAAGGAAACGTTGAGACAGAGAGTAAGAGCACCAAGATGCCTATGGATATTTCCCTTATCAATTTCATTATGTTGTTTATCTTTTCTTAAATTTATAAAACAAATAAATGCTAAGAAACTAGCAGGTAATAGGCAAAGCATCAGCTTCTGCGATGAGTTATATTTCCAAGAATATCTCTGAAGCCTGTAGGTGGTCTGTAACTTTCTTAGAAACTAAGTATGATCCACAGTTGTAGCCACCCCCGAACTTGTTTGTAAATGTGATAAGATTGCAAGGATTATTGGATACCAGAGGAAGATAAAGAGAGTTGCAAGGATCAAACATTTTTCCCAATCTGACTTTGGGAAAATGGACATTTTAGAGATGGACATACTGACTAAGACACCAGATGAATTTTGTTCCAAATTTTGACAACAAAATACTTGGGAAAAATTCTAAGCTTACACCTTACATGTGGTCTTAGTCATGTTTTATTGAATAAGTTACTCTGACTAGGCTCATAAATCCTACTAAACTGTAAGCCACAATGACTGACTGTATAGAACTTGCAAAACCAAAATCAAAGAAATCACATAGTTATCTTATTTTTGTGCAAACTTATTTCTCTGTATAGGATGTTAAGACTAATTATTAAAGCAAAACTAGAGTCTGAGAAAAGCAGTTGATGAATGAAAAATATCAAGGACATGAAGTTAAGATTTATGGACGTATCTGATGCTAAATTTCAGTAGTGGTTTAGAATTCATTAATTCACCTTGTATATGCACACCTTATTAGCACAATTGGCTTTGTGATTATCATGAACAGATTGCCTTTAGTTTGAGAATAATATTGTTGATGCTAGTAATATTACATTTATAGATACACACACATAATATATTACAGATACATACACACAGAATACATGATAATGTCTGAATTTACATATCTATATCACTTTCTATAAACCATATTAGACAACATAATGAAATTTACCTTTTGAACAATTCAGGGATGAGTTTGATAAGTAATAGCTTATTTACCTGTCTTAAATACACATAATATCCAGATGCCTCCTCAATTCCTGTCTTCTTAAAATGTTCCACTAAGTCAGCCAAACTGACGAATCTTGCTGTACCCCCAATTGTGTACTGCCCTTTCTAGAAAAAATTAGAAAACAAAAAACATTATTATTCCAGTCCCTCATATATGTAGGTGCTTTAATCTGCAAAGCATTCCAAAGGGAAACGAAAGGCTTGGTACAGCAGCTTCAAAGGACATCCATCCAGGCAAAGGTAGCTGTGGATAAATTATTAATAACCTCATAAGTTCCATACAGAGCAGAGGTGGTATTCAGCAGGTTCTGATCAGTTCTGGAGAACCAGTAGCAGAAATTTTGAGTAGTTCGGAGTACCGGTAAATACCACCTCTGACTGGCCCCACCGCCATCTATTCTCTGCATCCCCATCTGATTGGGAGGAAATGGGGATTTTGAGTAACCTTCCTCTGGAGTGTGGAGGGAATGGAGATTGTACAGTATACTTCCCCTGCCACGCCCACCAAGCCACTCCCACCAAGCCATGCCACAGCCAACAAGCCACACCCACAGAACCGGTATTAAAAAAATGTGAATCCCATCACTGGTACAGAGGATGTCTGGGACAACCTCTGAGCAGTCATGTATGCCTTCTCCACGACACAGCTACTTTAACACTTCCATTTTGAGGATGAGGTCTTTGTTTCCACAAATTGGAATTTTAAACTGATACAGTGATATAGTGATGGCTAATCTTCGAACCAAGTGCCCAAAGCGCGTGCCCAAACTCCCAAAATGCAATGCATGCTTCCTAGGAGCCTGGGGAGGGTGAAAACAGCCCCCCGCCCCCCCAGAGGCCCTCCAGGGGCTTCCGGAACTTCCCTGAAGCCTCCGGAGCACAAAAAAAACCCCGGTCCTACAGGCAAACCAGAAATTCGGGAACAGACTTCTGGTTTGTTTGTATCTTCCGGAGCCTTCAGGAGGCTTCTCTGAAGGATCCAGAGGGCAAAAAATGGCCCAATGAGCAAATGGGAAGTTCATTCCTGAACTTCCGGTTTGCCTGTAGGACCATTTTTTTGTGTTTCAGGGAAGACTCCGGAGAGTGAAAAATGGCCTCAAAAGAAGGCTGAAGTCAGCTGGCCAGCATGTGCATGCGCCCTGGAGCTGGCAAGGCAACATTTCACATGCCCTGACAAATGACTCCGAGTGCCACCTATGGCAGGCATGCCATAGGTTCGCCATTACAGACCTAGAGGATTGCAAGAATTGCTTATCCCTTTTTCTCCAGACACTACAAAAAAATAATAATGAAAGATTTCAGGGTTCTTTCTTGTCTTCTGTGTTATTTAACATCCAAGAAAGATTCTTTGCAAGTCTGGAGCTAGTTGTCATTATTAATATATCTAAGGGGCTGCCACAAAGAAGAGAGGGTCAATCTATTTTTCAAAGGACCTGAAGGCAGGATAAGAAGCAATGGATGGAAACTAATCAGGGAGAGAATCAACCCTTTAGAATAATTAATTAGTGGAATGACTTGCCTCCAGAAGTTGTGGAAGCTCCATCACTGGAGGTTTTTAAGAAGAGATTGGACAGCCATTTGTTCGGAATGCTTGAGCAGGTGGTTGGACTAGAAAAAGTCCAAGATTCTGTTATTCTATTACTTAATTATCCATTCCTTTTCTGTGATTTTGGAGATTTATGTCTCCCCATTACAATGAATAGGGAATTTGACATAGACAGGACCAAGGTGTTAATGATTCTAGGAGCTACATTTTAGAATCAGAGAAATGCCTATTTTGGATTTCATTGCACCAATGTTCCCTCTAAGGTGCGCGGCTGCACGGCCACGCACATTGCAAGAAAACACCATGCAGCAGTTTCCAACTGCCGCGCAGTGATTTCTAATGTCACAGGCTCAGGAAGCTGAGGGGCCTCAGATTTTCTGTCCTGGTTAGGGTTAGCACGAGCGCGTGGGGTGGTGACGGCAGCAGGAGCTTACACGGCATGGCCGGTCTCCTAGGACCTCCTAGGCGCCGGCCACGTCCGCTCAAACTGCCGTCGGTCGCCCCGTGCTCAGCAAAGCAAACCCGTGGAGGTCCTTTGTGGGCGGCCAATCCTTGCGCCCGGCGCTGCGGCTGAAGTGAAGCACCAAAGCCCCCGCCGCCACCGGAATAACTGCTACCGCCTCCTCCTCCTCCAACAGCACTGCCGGATTTGCCGCTCGCCGCTGCAGCTGAGGTGAAGCCGCCAAAGCTCCTGCCGGCGCCCCCACCCATGGCAGGGGCACCTGAGCTGGGCCCCGTGTTACCCCTGCCCCCTCCTCTGCCATGCTTTTGAGGAGCCATGATGCCTTTTTTTCCTGCGGGGCGGGAGCTGGATGGCAGGTGCGGACCGACCATGGGAGGGGAAAGGGGCACTGGAGCACTGGCAAAGGTGAGGTGGCGAGGAGGAACCCGACGGCAGCGCCACCGCGGGAGCCAGTAGGAAAGCGGGGGAGGGGGGAAGGAAAAAAAGGCCTCATGGCTTCTCAAAAGCACGGCGGAGGAGGAGGCAGCGGCAGGGGTAACGCGGTGCCCAGCTCAGGTGCTCCGAGCAGAGGGGGAGGCGCCGCCACCACTGCCATGGGCAGGGGTGCCAGCAGGAGCTTTGGCAGCTTCACCTCAGTCACAGTGCCGGGTTGTTGTTGGAGGAGGAGGAGGCGGCAGCAGTTATTCTGGTGGCAGCGGGGGCTCGTCAGCATCTTCAGCAGCGACCCTGCCCCCGGTGAAAAAACCAAAGATGGAGCAGATCCATGCTGATGACGTCGCTGCAGCTGCAGCTGCCAGGTCCAAACGGAGGTAGCCAGAGCGGTGCCGAGGCGAAAGAGCAACATGACTGGAGGAGGAATTCTGGGAGTTGAAGTCCACAAGTCTTAAAGCTGTTCAGTTTGAACACCTCTGGGGTTTGTTTTCTAAAGGGTTAGGGTTCAAGGGTTTTGTAACTTGACAGCTTTAAGACTTGTGGACTTCAACTCCCAGAATTCCTCCTCCAGTCATGTTGCTCTTTCGCCTCGGCACCGCTCTGGCTACCTCCGTTTGGACCTGGCAGCTGCTCCATCTTCGGGCCGCCACTGAAGACGCTGACGAGCCCCCGCCTCCACCAGAATAACTGCTGCTGCCTCCTCTTCTTCCTCCAACAGCACCACCGCATTTGCCGCCTGGCGCAGCAGCTGAGGTGAAGCTGCCAAAGCCCCCCCTGGCCCCCCTGCCTGTGGCAGCGGCGCCTCCCCCTACTCTCAGAGCACCTGAGCTGGGCACCGCGTTACCCTGCCACCTCCTCCTC